CCGGGTTCAAGCAGTTCTCCTGCCTGAGCCTCCTGAGTAGCTGGGATAACAGGCATGTGCCAACATGCCCGGCTAATTTTTTTTTTTTTTAATTTTTAATAGAAATGGGGTTTCACGATGTTGGTCAGGCTGGTCTCGAACTCCTGACCTCGTGATCCACCTGCCTCGGCCTCCCAAAGTGCTGGGATTACAGGTGTGAGCCACCATGCCCAACCAAGTTCATTCCTTTTTATAACTCAGTAACATTTTGTTGTATGGATACACCACATTTTGTTAATCCATTCAACAGCTGAAGGACACGTGAAGTGTTTCCATCTTTTGGTTCCTATTAATGCTGCAGTGAACATTTGTGTTAACTAAAATAAAGATCAAGGCTGGGCGTGTTGGCTCAAAGTAATCCCAGAACTTGGGAGGCTGAGGAGGGTGAACTGCTTGAACACAAGACCAGCCCGGACAACATAAGCAAAACCCTACCAAAAATAATAATAATAGGGCCGGGCGCGGTGGCTCAAGCCTGTAATCCTAGCACTTTGGGAGGCTGAGGTGGGTGGATCACAAGGTCAAGAGATCCAGACCATCCTGGTCAACATGGTGAAACCCCGTCTCTACTAAAATTACAAAAAATTAGCTGGGCACGGTGGTGTGTGCCTGTAATCCCAGCTACTCAGGAGGCTGAGGCAGGAGAATTGCCTGAACCCAGGGGGCGGAGGTTGCGGTGAGCCGAGATCGCACCATTGCACTCCAGCCTGGGTAAAAAGAACGAAACTCCGTCTCAAAATAATAATAATAATAATAATAATAATAAGCTGGGTGTAGTGGCTCAATCTTTATTTAATAAGGATTGAGGATTGAGCCGGGAGGCAGACCTTGGGCTGAGATCGTGCCACTGCATCCCAGCGTGGGCGACAAAAAAAAAAAAAAAACAGATTGAGACACAGAGGTCAAAGAAAATAGCATTTAATTTATTTAGGAAACAAATAATTGCTATTCACATACACTGAATCAGAGCAGCCCTGAACAGTGTCTACTAATAAGGCAAGCACAGGAGAGGGTTTTTTAAAAATAGGGGATTCCCACAAGAAGTTTTCGGGGGCAGTTTATTGGCTAGGTAGAAATCCTAAATCACAACCCCATTCTGATTGGTTACTCACTGCTGAGAGATGATGAAGGCTGGCAGTTACTGACTTCAGTTGTTCCTACAAGTCTATTTTGTGGTTTGACTTTTTAGCAGGCATGAATGCAATCCCCTAGCAATCTCCTAACTCCACTTTAGAAAGACTTCACCTTAGTTACTTCATTTTCTTTCACACTGCACAAGTTTTTGTGTGAACATGTTTTCAATTATTTTGGGCACGTACCTAGGAGTGAGTCATATATTAATTGTATGTTCAACTTTCAGAGGAACCATCAAAAATTGTTTAGCAGTTTTATAGCTTTATTTGACATATATGATGATTGGCACTTCTCATCCAGAGCTTTTTGGTGAATTTTCATCCTTATTACAGTTTCTAAACAATCACACATGTACCTGGTGTGAGACATTCCTTATTCCTTTGGCCTTGATAGCCTTGTTAAGCCTGGTATCAGTGCATACATCTGGAGGGCCCATCCCCGTGGCAAATTTCTAAATCTCTTTGAATGTCCACAGGATATGCTTCTTAAAGCCCACTCCATGGATATGAGCTAGTGGCCCAAGTGTACTCTTGGGTCACTACCTGGTCGATGGCAGAACAGTGCATCTTCTTGCCACGTTTCTTTGTGGAAGCCATTCTGCCAGGCCCAAGATGGAAAAGAAAAACATGAGGGACTGTGGGAGAAAGAAAGCCTGAACTTTTAAAAAGTGGCTGCACAATTTTACATTTTAGACATTTTGATACATTATATTTGTGTTATTATTTGACTCTCTATAATTTCTGCCATGAGTTTTTCTGTAACCCATGAATTGTTTTTTGAAGAGTTTTAAATTTCCCAACTAAAAAGGCTTTTTTAGTTGTTTTTCTTTTATTAATGTCTAACTTGGCTGGGTGCAGTGGCCCACACCTGTAATCCCAGCACTTTGGGAGGCCAAGGCGGACAGATCACCTGAGTTCGGGATTTCTAGACCAGCCTGGCCAACATGGTGAAACCCCGCCTCTACTAAAAATACAAAATATGCCAGGCATGGTGGCACGTGCCTGTAGTTCCAGCTACTTGGGAGGCTGAGGCAGAAGAATCACTTGAACCTGGGAACCAGAGGTTGCAGTGAGCCAAGATTGTGCCATTATACTCTAGCCTGGGCAACAAGAGCGAAACTCCGTCTCAAAAAAAAAAAAAAAATCAGCCTTTACACTGTGACTAGCAGAAAAAATTAGAAAAAATTATTCCAGTGTTAGAAAGTATTATTTATTTCAGCAAAGAAGTTGCTCATAACATTGACAAGTGAAACTGTAATCTATATCTTGGATATGTCACTTTCATCTTAATCATAAATAAAAACAAAAATATTAACCAACATTCATTTGAACTAGGTTGTTAATCAGTTGCAATTATAAATTGGCCACAAATATAAGAGTTCAGCAAAAAACAATGAAAGTATTCTAAGAGAAGCAATTGTCTATGAGAAATTTACAGTAAAAAGTATACTATATCTCATTATTTATAAATTCCTTATCAATAAATTTTTTTTAAAGATGGAGTCTCACCTTATTGCCTGGCTGGAGTGCAGTGACTCAATGCTGGCTCACTGCAACCTCCACTTCCCATGTTCAAGCGATTCTCCTGCTTCAGCCTCCTGAGTATGAATAGAAATGCCCAGCCACCACTGACCTTACTGTTTGAATCATTGGCTAGAGATCTCTGCAAAAAGCACATTTTCAGATGGAACACTGGAGGTGTTCCTAAAGGTGCTGTGGCTGGAGTAAGCTAGTGGTATGCAGGTATATGGATAATAACTGACTCTGTTTATTGGCTTACAGGCGCCTGCCACCACGCCCAGCTAATTTTCGTATTTTTAGTAGAGATGGGATTTCTTCATGTTGGCCAGGCTGGTCTCGAATTCCTAACCTCAGGTAATCCGCCTTGGCCTCCCCAAATGCTGGGATTTCAGGCGTGAGCCACCACGCCCTTACCAATAAATTTTATAATAAGCTTAATCTCTCTCTCTCTCTCTCTCTCTCTCTCTCTCTCTCTCTCTGTCTTAATCCTTCTCTTACACTTCTGACCACAGAGTCAGTTATTAACCATATATATACCTGCATACCACTAGCTTACTCCAGCCACAGCACCTTTAGGAACACCTCCAGTGTTCCATCTGAAAATGTGCTTTTTGCAGAGATCTCTAGCCAATGATTCAAACAGTAAGGTCAGTGGTGGCTGGGCATTTCTATTCATTCTGGCACTCCTCTAGAGTAATCTGTGTTGGAGTTCTCCGATGAGATGACTAGGGTTTTCTTAGAGCTACATTGTACTTTGAATCTCCTCTACCCAATTATTCTTCCTTCCCCCTCTCCTTTCTAAGGTGCCGTATCTTGGCCTGAATACTTTCCTAGACCTCTTTATTTTTCACAAGAATTTTCTCCAATAAATCTCTTGCATTTCTTAACTCCTTGGTGTCTGCTTCCTGGAGGTACCAAATTGACTGGCCAAAAAAAAAAAAAAAAAAAAAAAAAAAAACAACCAGAAACAATGCAAATGTCCATCAACAGATGAATGGGTAAGCAGATCAATTTAAGAAAGTAACAATGTTGACAGGGCAGATAAAATTTAAGAGTATACCTTGTCTGTAACCATTACATTATGGACAGCACAAAAATTGAGGAAAATTCTTCCAGAATTGGAAAACTATTATGTTTCAGCAAAGAAGACTATTCAGGAGTTAAAAAGGTACAGACATATATACAACATGGATTAATCTCAAAAAACAGTACACTGAGCAAAATAAGCTGAGAGCAAAAAGGTACATACTGTATAATTCCACTTACATGAAGTTCTAGAATAGTTTAGGAGATTGAACTGGACATAAGACATCTTTCTGGGATGACAGATGTTCTATATCTTAATAGGGTATTATTTCATGAGTGTACATATTTGTCAGGATTCATCTAACTATACCTTTTAGATCTCCCTGGCGAGGTGGTTCATGCCTATAATCCCAGCACTTTGGGAGGCCAAAGCGGGTGGATCACCTGAGGTCAGGAGTTCAAGACCAGCCTGGCCAACGTGGTGAAACCCCGTCTCTACTAAAAATACAAAAATTAGACCAGGCACGGTAGCTCAGGTCTATAATCTCAGCACTTTGGGAGGCTGAGGCTGGCGGATCATGAGGTCAGCAGATTGAGACCATCCTGGCCAACATGATGAAATCCCATCTCTACTAAAAATACAAAAAATTAGCCGGGTATGGTGGCTTGTGGCTGTAATCCCAGCTACTCAGGAGGCTGAGGCAGGAGCATTGCTTGAACCCAGGAGGCAGAGGTTGCAGTGAGCCAAGCTCACACCATTGCACTCCAGCCTGGGCAATGAAGTGCGACTCCATCTCAGTAAATAAATAAATACATATATACATACATACAAACAAACATTAGGCTGGGCACGGTGCCTAACACCTGTAATCCCAGCACTTTTGGAGTCTGAGGTGCATGGATCAACTGAGGTCAGGAGTTCGAGACCAGCCTGACCAACATGATAGAAACCCGCGTCTGCTAAAAATACAAAAATGAGCTGGGTGTGGTGGCAGGTGCCTGTAATCGCAGCTACTCAGGTGGCTGGGGCAGGAGAATCACTTGAACTGAGGAGGCGGAGGTTGCGGTGAGCCAAGATCATGCCACTGCACTTCAACCTGGGCAACAAAGCAAAATTCTGTCTCAAAAAAAAAACAAAAAACAAAAAACTATTCATTTCACTGTATATGTTACATCGCAATACCAAAGTACAAAAACAATTCTTCCTATGATACTGTAAGATGTCATTTTCTTCCTATAGATCTGTCCATTTCTGGTCTACATACTTTTTTTTTTTTTTTCCAAAAGGCAAACTCGTTTACTGGTTCAGCACACAATTGTCATGATCATTAGTCCTCTGACTTGGACCTAGACTCAGTCCTGGTAGGCTGAAAGGTTGATTCAGGTACAATTAAGTTTTCTGGTTAAAGTCATCATTGGGTTCAAATGATCTATCACCCACTCTGGAGGGCAGCACCAGCAGAGAAGCTATAAATACACTTCAAAACTGAGTCTTAGTGCTGGTTGTACCTTAACCACACACTCTACAGCCAAGAGAAATTAGTGGTTGAACAAAAATACAGACCAAATGCCTCTGGGAGATGGACTGAAGCAACTCCAAAGAAAGCTGTAAAAAAGTGACAGGAATTTGTTCTTCTACTTGGAGAGTATTCTATTCAAACATGAGTCCAAGGTATGTATCCTTAAGAGGAGATGCTCTGCTGTTGTCTCATTTGCCAGAATATCCTTCAGTTCCAGGCTTTCAACAGGGTGTGATTGGTTCATGCTCCATGATAGGGAAGGAATTAAAGTTTGAAGGCAGAATCAATGGCCACAATGCCTGATGTTAGACTTTCATAAGTGACCTTGTGAAAGCCTGCATCTTCTATCATCTCCTTGAACTCTTCCTGAGATGGGAACCTTCAGATACTCTCTACAAGGTATTGATAGGACTTCCAGTCTCCAGCAATGACCTCTCCCAGGACAGGGATGACCTGGAAGCTATATAGATCATAAAGCCTGGATATGAGGGGATTGTTTACTTGGCTAAATTCCAGACACAGAAACCATCCTCCTGGTTTCAGCACCCAATGGGCTTCCTGGAGTGCCTGATCAATGTGTGTGACATTCCGAATCCCAAAGGCAATGGTGTAAATATCAAATTTGTCATCATCAAAGGGCAGTTCTTTGGCATCTCCTAATACCCATGCAAGTCCAGCTCTGTATCCTTGAGCCAAGGCTTTCTGCTTTCCAACATTTAGCATCTCTTTGTTGATGTCACACACCATGACATGAGACCTGCCCAAGGAATCTTCTTCATTCTTGTACTCTTTGGCAATTTCTTCCCAGGATAAACTTTGTTGGGCCCTTAACTGCCTCTTCTGTTTTCTCTGATGCTGGGACTGAACATAATTTAGGAACCGGAATGCAATGTCACTTGTGCCTCCAGCAACATCAAGCAGCTGGGTCCCAGAAAGCAGATGCATATTCCAGAGCAGTAAATCCTACCAAAGACGATGGATAACAAGACTCATCATATCATTCATCACATCATACTTCTTAGCCACACTTTCAAACTCCTGATGGACTTTGCCCCCCTTCTCCTCTTCCCACACAGTCTGAAACCCCAAGTGCGTTTCTGTTGCCGGCTTCTCTTGGGACAAGAGCCGCGCACTTAGTGGGGCCCCGGGCCAAGAGCCACGAGCCAAGAGCCACGAAGCCCGAGGAGCTGACAGCCCCGCATCGCCCATGACCACCTACGACTGCAGTAGTTCCATAGAGCCAAGCTTCTGGGAGCTGCCATCTTTGTACTCGACTTACAAGACATGCTTTTTTTTTTTTTTTTTTTGAGACTGAGTTTCGCTCTTGTTGCTCAGGCTGGAGTGCCATGGGCTCACTGCAAACTCGCCTCCTGGATTCAAGTGATTTTCTTGTCTCAGCCTCCCAAGTAACTGGGATTACAAGCATGCACCACCACGACTGGCTAATTTTGTATTTTTAGTAGAGATGGGATTTCTCTATGTTGGTCAGGCTGGTCTCGAACTCCCAACCTCAAGTGATCGGCTTGGGTGTGATCTTGGCTCACAACCTCTGCCTCCCAAATTCAAGCGATTCTCCTGCCTCAGTCTCCCAAGTAGCTGAGATTACAGGTGCCTGCCACCATGCCTGGCTAATTCTTGTATTTTTAGTAAAGACAAGGATTTCACCACGTTGGCCAGGCTGGTCTCGAACACCCAACCTTAGGTGATCCACTAGCCTCAGACTCCCAAAATGCTGGGATTACAGGCATGAGCCACCGCGCCTGGCCTGTGCTTTGATCTATGTTATTATTTATGTTATTAGATATCTGCAATTTTAGAATACTACTGGTGAACTGAAACTTTCCTGCTTTTCTATATACACACACGTTTTCCACACTCACTAATTCCTATTATTTTAGTGTTTTATTTTATTCTAATTTTCCATTCGCAGTGCTTCAGCATGTGAACCTGCCTTGCTGTTTTGGGGTCTGGCTTACACCTAATCCCAAGACAGGCAAGTGCAGCCACAAAACTGGCTGCCATAACTGACTGGAAATTGCTCTCCTGGACACTTGGCCACACATGGCGGTCCATATCTCATGGTTCTGGCTTCTGCTTAGAACCCAGCCAGCATCTGTTTCAGCATGGGAAACAAATGTTCAGCCAAAACAAAGACTAGCCTGAAGAAAGTGTGGACGTGGGAGACGTTGCAGGTGCTCACATCCAGACAGGAGAACAAAGAAGGTTTGGTAAAGGGCTCAGACCTTTAGGTTCTCGACGACGTGCAACACATAACGAGGAAAATACTGACCACAGGTGGCTCCGGTGGCCGGTTGTAGCGCTGGGGAGCGGGAGGAGAGTAAAGAACAGGGAGAGGGTAGCGAGAGAGCGGCAGCCTCGGCCTCGGTAAGCAGGGGCTTAGGGAACAGTTATCTGAGACTGCACCACTCTGCTATTTTGAGGTTTGGCTTTTTGCCACGTGGTGCAGAGGGAAGGCGCCATTTGATGCGCCCAAATCCCTAGTGGGAAGAGAAATAGGGATGAGGGAGATGGGTGTGTCTGTGGTGACTCTTGGGCACTCGCGCCATTCAATCCTGTCACTCTCAAGCTGACAAACCCAAAGCAAACGCCAGGTTTACACTACCTGCACTGACACTAGTGGGAAGGTCAGGCGCCACTCAACTCTGGGCTTTTATTGGTCAGGTCAAGAAAAACGCGAAAGGGACAACTGGGAGCCTTTTTCTGATTGGTGGATTCCTGCTAGCCCTGAAGTCAATCAGAGTAGAATGTACCTTCCTCCTTTCCACTCTCTGGCTCCCGGGGGAGCCATGTTAGGTACTGGGACGCCACGCTTGCCACTCTTCTGAGAATGTCACCCAGTAACACGCCCTGCTTTCCTCCTCCTCCGCCGTCTCTTCTATCAACCGTCTCCTTCTAACATGTTATTGCAGTTAATAAAAAAGCGCTCGTTTCTTCACAAAAGCAGTTGTTTCGTTGTATAATGTGAGAAGTCTGCGTTTAGGCGGTTAGACGCAAAGCAGTGGAATAAATGCTCTGTTCAGCCTGCCAACGTTCGGAACCAGTAAACAGACTGGGAACTAGGTGCCACGATCCAGTGAGCGCCCGACTCGGGTCTCTAGCAGCCTGCGGGGTTTTTGCGTGACTTTTGGTCCCTCGCGGCTCCTGTAGCGTTCCCAGCTACGGCGCCCCTAGCAACCGCCCTCCTTAGCAAGGAGCCGCAGGGTCGCCTGGGCCTGCGCCTGCTTTCCCGCCCCGGGCCAGCGCAGGCGCTCAGGCCTCGGAGGCGGGGTGATGGCCGCCTCCCACCAAGCGGCGAAACTGGCGGCCTCCAGTCTCCAGGTCCCGGTCAATCCCATTACTGGGGCGCGGGTCGCCCAGTACGAACGCGAAGATCCCTTACAGGCCCTGACGGCAGCGACAGCGATCTCGGAGGACGAAGAGGAGGAGAAAGTGGCGCAGCCCGCGGGGGCGTCGGTAATGCAGGGGCGGGACATGGACTGGGACCTCGCGTGGGCTGGGGTCAGGCTGAGGGCTGTCTGGGTCCCCGCCCAGCTGAGGGTAGGCTGGTACGAGGCCCTGTGCACATACTCCCTAGTCGGTGGTCCTGGCCAATCTGCTTCTTTACGCTCACAAAAAATACTCTAAATCGAGGCGTTCAAAAGTGTTTTAATTTTCAACAAAGAGTTTGTTGTAAAATTTTCGACCGAAGAGTTTGTTGTAAAAATTTCCTAGACAACATTTATGTTACTCTATTTCTGGCGAGTGCAAAGTACAGAATTTTACTCTCTACTCTCCAGCATCTCAGGAATGGATATTTCTTTCCGCTCCCCCCCCCCTTTTTTTTTGTAATTTGAGGAAAACTGTTCTATCAGGTATATTTCGTCATTCACCTTAAGATCCTGGTTATAAGTGGATCTCAACACAATGCTCTAGAGATGCGTGTTTAAAACCATCACGAGTTCACTAGCTAGATCAGACAGATACAGATAAGCATTCGGAAAAGCAAATCACTGAGGTTTCAGTGTTTCCTAAACGGCTCTTCAGGGTCAGACAGACTTTTCACTGATTAGTTTTCAATGTTAAATCTGTTGTGGACACCAGTCCAACAGGTGGAGGGCAGGGTCTGCCATCTGCTGTATTCACTTAAAAGATGGAATCTTGAATTTGGCTAGCAATCTGCAGATAGAAAAAGTTTCTTAATACCATGTGTCCAAAGCTTCTCAGACACAAAACTTAAGATTGAGGATTAATTGAAATCACTGGGTTTTTTGGAATTTTAATCTCTTTTATCTACAGTAAAATTGTTAAATGAGAAAATCTTTAGCAACATCTTTTATGGTCAGTGTTTCACCAACAGACAAACTACTTGAAGTTACCTAGAGTAAGGCAGATTAGACCCTGAACATGAACCAGGCTCAGAGAGCTAAGGCCAGTTTTGTTCATGGTAAAGCTACCCCTCAACACAATTTTCAGTAGGCAACATTATGGAGAAAAAGGATTTTTTTTTTTTTTTGAAATGGAGTCTTGCTCTGTTGCCCAGGCTGGAGTGCGGTGGTGTGATCTCGGCTCACTGCAGCCTCGCCTCCCAGGTTCAAGCAGTTCTCTTGCCTCAGCCTCCTGAGTAACTGGAACTACAGGTGCACGACACCATACCTGGCTAATTTTTTGTATTTTTTTTTTTTTTTTTTTAGTAGAGACGGGGTTTTACCATTTGCCCAGGCTGGTCTTGAACTCCTAAGCTTAAGCAATCCACCCACCTCAGCCTCCCCAAATACTGGGGTTACAGGCATGAGCCGCTGCGCCCGGCTGAGAAAAAGGATTTAAGAGTTCTTATTAGGATCCATTCTCTGCTGCTTGCTAGGTGATGTTAGGACATAACTTCCTTAAATCTCAGTTTCCTTATCTGTAAAAGATCTATAATAATTGTCTCTTTCCCATCTCAGCTGTTATGAGAACCAAATGAAAGAATGTGTGTCTCCTCTAAAAAGCAATCTATATAAACGAGTAATAATTATGACAGTTGCCAGTGGGAATGTCATTTGTGTGCCTTCCCAAAGATTAAACTCTACTTTGGCTTGCTGTGATAAAGGAGTCTGTCATTTCTAAGCTGCAAATATACTTCCACAGTGCCCTGTTAATTACCTTAGGACAGATCAGTTTATATAGTAATCTAGTATGGAAAGGACAGAATCCTACAAAAAACAAAACGAAGCCAAGTCTTTTTGTTTTGAGTTCGAGTCTTGCTTCTTTATCCAGGCTAGAGTATAATGGCACGATCTTGGCTCACTGCAACCTCTGCCTCCCGGGTTCAAGCAACTCTCCTGCTTCATCCTCACCAATAGCTGGGATTACAGGCACCTGCCTTGTGCTAATTTTTGTATTTTTAGTAGAGATGGGGTTTCATCATGTTGGCCAGGCTGATCTCTGAACTCCTGACCAAGTGATCGACTTGCCTCGGTCTCCCAAAGTGCTGGGATCACAGGTATGAGCCACCTCACCCAGCCTGGGAAGCCAAGTCTTAACAGTTTGTTACTGTTCTGAGACAATTTTTAGTAGAGACATCCCACATAAGAGATCCAAAAGTAAAGGTGGGTCAGCTGCCACAGTGGACCTGATAGCCATGGGGCACAGGGATGGGGAAAGAGGCACTAAAAAGGCAGGAAGAGTGCAGGAAATAGGCTTTACTTTCTTCACTGGTTGGCTTGGGTCTCCGTCTTGATTTTTAAAGGTTAATTTGCCTTAACCTTATTATCTATGAAATGTAGTAAAGTCAAATATTATACCTACCCCACAAGATAGATTTGAGAACCACCCATCACAATAGGCCTCTTTCAGCTCTTTGGTTTTGCCAAAACCAGACCACCCATCCCACCCTCCCTTCACCCCCCCCAACCCCTGCACCATCCCCATGTACGCTCCCCCTCTGGCATACACACACACACACACACACACACACCCCTTGCAGTGCCCATATTGGGCACTGATGCCTGTTCCTTGAATCTGGCCTTAGTCAGAGATGTTAGTCCACATATCCTGTTATATTGCTGATGATGATACAGGTAAAGCAATGCTATGTAATTTGCAATTAAAATCTCACTCCTGGCCAGGCATGGTGCCTTATGCCTGTAATCCCAGCACTTTGGGAGGCTGAGGCAGGTGGATCATCTGAGGTCAGGAGTTCGAGACCAGCCTGGCCAACATGGTAAAACCCTGTCTCTACTAAAAATACAAAAATTATCCAGGTGTGGTGGCACACACCTGTAATCACAGATACCAGGGGGTGCTGAGGCAGGAGAATTGCTCGAACCCAGGAGGTGAGGTTGCAGTGAGCCAAGATCATGCCACTGCACTCCAGCCTAGGTGACAGAGTGAAACTCCATCTCAAAGAAATAAATAAACAAAAATAAAAAATAAAATCTTAGGCCGGTGCAGTGGCTCATTCCTGTAATCCCAGCACTTTATGAGGCTGAGGTGGGTGGATCACCTGAGGTCAGGAGTTCGAGACCAGCCTGACCAATATGATGAAACCCCATCTTTACTAAAAATATAAAAATTAGCCAGGTGTAATGGCATGCACCTGTAATCCCAGCTACTCAGGAGGCTGAGAAAGGAGAATCGCTTGAACCCGGGAGGCAGAGCAGTGAGCCGAGATTGTGCCATAGCACTCTAACCTGGGCAACAAGAGTGAAACTCTGTCTCAAAAATAAATAAATAAATAAACTAAAATCTCATCTCACTCCTAATGGGGCAACCTTATTTTTCTAACAAATATTGAACATTTATTAGGTGCTAGTTATTAAGTATTCAGTGGTGAATGTAATGGGTATAGCTTACATCCTCACAGAATTTTCAGTCTGGTGAGGGAAATTAGATAATTAAAAATGAACAGACATATAACTATAAGATAGGAAATGTTGGGAAAGAAATTAATAGGCTATGATGATTAAAAACAAATAAGAGAGAACCTATTTTTTTTCCTCTGACTCCACTTTTTATTATTTATTTATTTATTTATTTATTCTTTTTTGACACAGGGTTTTGCTCTTTTTCCAGGCTGAAGTGCAGTGGTGCAATCACAGCTCGCTGCAGCCTCAACCCCCCAGGTTCAATCAGTCCCCCACCTTAACCTTCTGAGTAGCTGGGACTACAGGCAAATGCCACCATGCTCAGCTAATTTTTATATTTTTTGTAGAGACAGAATTTTGCCATGTTGCCCAAACTGGTCTCAAACTGCTGGGCTCAAGTGATCCACCCTTCTTGGCCTCCCAAAAGTTCTGGGAATATAGGCGTGAACCACTGTGTCTGGCTCTGCTGTCGATATACATACACACACACACACATACACATACACACATATATATTTAATTCCGCTTTTAGATACAGGGGTGCATGTGCAGGTTTATTACATGGATATATTGCATCCAGCTAGTAAGCATAGTACCCAATAGGGAGTTTTTCAAAGTATGCCGCCCTCTTCCCTCCCCACCTGGCGGTAGTCCGCAGTGTCTTGTTTCCATGTTTATGTCCCACTTATGAGAACATGCGATATTTGGTTTTCTGTTTACCTCCCACTTATGAGAACATGCAATATTTGGTTTTCTGTTCCTGTGTTAGTTTGTTTAAGATTATGGCCTACAGCTCCATCCATGTGGCTGCAAAGGACATGATTTCATTCTCTTTTATAGCTGTAAGTAGGGAGCCTATTTAAACGAGTTGTTAATGTTTAAGTCCATGTCTGGATGTATGAGAAAGAGCAGCCATTTGAAGTGTGGGAATGGGAAGAACATCCCAGGCAGATGGAACAGCATATGCAGAAGCCCTAAGATAGGAGGAAAAACAGCTTTGTGATTAATCTGGTGATTAAGGATCTGAAAGAAAGTCAGCAGAACAGGAAGAGAGAGAGAGAGAGAGAGAGAGAGAGAGTGGAAGGAAATGAGATTAGAGAAGTGAGTGGGGCCTGACCATTCAGAGCCTAGTAGACCAGAGTAAGGGGTTTAGGTTTTAATTCCTCCTATTAGTGGGAGATTGCTGAGGGCTTTTAAGAGATAGTATGTTTATATATATATATAATTTTTTTTTAGATTGCGGGGTCTTGCTCTGTTGCCTGGCTGGAGTGCAGTGGCACCATCTCGGCTCACTGCAATATCTACCTCTCCGGTTCAAGCGATTCCCCTGCCTCAGCCTCTCGAATAGCGGGGATTACAGGTGCGCACCACCATGTCCAGCTAATTTTTTGTATTTTAGTAGAGACGGGGTTTTGCCATGTTGGCTGGGATGTTCTCGATTTCCTGACCTTGTGATCTGCCTGCCTTGGCCTCCCAAAGTGTTGGGATTACAGGTGTGATCCACTGCACCCAGCCTCTATTTATATTTTGAAAAGATCAGTGTGATGGCTTCGTAGAGAATGATTAGAAGGTTTGACAAAGCAGCAGTAAGGATATTGGTTAGGAGACTTGCAGTAATTCAGGTACCAG